ACCAACCTCATTGGCATGCTATGTAAATCTAGCAGTGCTCTATCAAGTATCTTACCATTCGGGGTATAATGAATCTGCTGTTCTGCTCATCTGTAAAGCCCAAATGAGGAGACCTCACACTGCGAGAGAATGTCTAGGTCTATTGTTTATACGAGGTCCTCTAGTCCAAAATGTCGAGCAGATAGCGCCAAATCGCCCCACTTCAACTTTCAAGGCACTTCGGCATTGCTCACTCGTCTAATTCAATCTGCATCTCGCGTTCTGTTATAATTTTGGGATATCTAGGTTAGAAATGACGGACTAGAACAGTAGCAGGTAGCAGAATCTTCGATACGTACCCCAAACTTTGTTGGCCGACGCAACAATGACTTCTGCCTTAGCAAGCAACTTCTTCGCATAGCGCTCGGCCTCCGCCGGGTGCAGCTGGTTCTTCTGGGTCTTCCGCGGGTTTACCTGTAATTTTTGGTTAGCACAGCCTCATCACACTTTGCTATCAAACCTTGTCATACCATCATAAGTATAGGGACAAGGTCTTTTGCATCAGCCTCTGCCAATGCTCTTAGATTGCGGAAACCATTTTCTCGGAGTAACCTGGCCGTCCATCCCTTCACAAAGGTAACCTGAGCCATTTCAAGCAGATCAGCGCGCGCACCAGCCTCCAGACGATCTCGCATATGATCCAAGACTGCCGCAAGCATGCCCCAGTTCATTCGCTGGCAAAACTTTACTATACCCGCAGCAAAGCCATGACATTGTTGTGCCAAGGTTTGGACTGCTCCCCGCGGAATCCGATAGCGATTGGCTACTGCCGACAATGGCACTTCGTTACTCAAGTCCCGAAGTTGAAAGGCCGTGTAAGCTCTGCGATAGATCCTGGCCTGGTTAATCTGTTCTGGCGTGTTCTCCTTGAGCGACGCCCCACTTTGCGCCCTGCAAAACCGTTAGCGCCTTCATGAATGATCAAAAAGGTTGTGAGGCAAAATACATTGTATTCACAAAACCTGGACTGACACCAACGAACTGCAATGCGCGTAGCCCACTCTCATCGAGGCTGTCCAATTGATCGCGAAAGATAAGCCAGTCGATCGGGGTGGCCGTGGCTGCTTGTAGGGGCGTGAACAAGTAGAAGATGTGCATATCGCCATCCATAACGAATGCTTGCAACGCTCTTCTCAACTCCTCGTAGACAAAGAGGCCGTCTTCGGGCGCAAACGCCGAAGCCACTACCGCTTGGCCAAGTTGTGTTGATGAGTACGATTCGTCGTCGTTCAATTGTACAAGCCCCTCGGTGGCTAATTCCTGCAGCGCGGAACCCATGATACCGTAGGCTACCCTTTTATCCACCGTCAGGTACAGAAGGGTACATCTAACGTATTCCTTGATAGCATCATGACCGGAGACAAGCCCGGTCGCAATAGCTTCCAACAGTGCCCTTGTGGGAGGTGAGCTATCCATTCCTCAGAAAGAAGGTGTTGAGAACTCACCTCTTGAGTCCCCTCTTCTCCGGGGCTAGGCAACTTTCGATGGCGGGCATTTCTGCTTCTAAGAGGTCGCAGACCGCTTGTAGGTCGCTATCCCCACATATCAGGTAGGTCTCACCCGCCTCATCTTTCCCTTTGCGGCCAGCTCTTCCACACATCTGTCGCCTTCGCGAATGTTAGCCGATAGCACATTATGTTCAGTTTCAAGGCACCTTACAGCATTGCGGGCCCTACAAGTTCCCTGCCCATGCGTGCTCCATTGATGATAACCCTCCGTGCAGGGAGATTGACACCAGCCGCAAGACTGCAGGTCGCTATGAGTATACGTAAGACACCTTGGTCGTAGGCCTGCGCTATCAGTTCGCGCTCCTCTGCTGTCATTCCTGCATCTATACGATAGCTTAGCATATGCGTGGGAACGATGCGAATGGTACATACGGTGGAACCCTACTCCTCTCACGAGCGTCTTTTCGAGAACCGGGTCCAAGCCGCTAGGCAGACTGCGTAGATCAGCAAGCAAATCTAAACGCTTGCTGAGTTCATCTGTGTCCTCCGCAGGTGCCGGCATTGCTTCGCTTATAATAGCTGCTTGGATCTGGCACATATGCCGACTACCGCAGAACACCAAGGCGCCATGCCCGGCGTTGGCTGTGTCGATTGCCAGAGCTACAGTCGAATTCGTCATGGGATTTGCAAGTTCGCGGAAGGTTGAGGGGCGAATAACACGATCTGGAGGCATGCGTTCCATAAGAGTTGCGTTGGACATCGACTTCAGCTTAGATATCGTTTGGAAAAGCTGCCTCGAGGTCGCTGCGGGATAGATTGCATTCTCATAAACCAGGTAATCATCAATCGGGATTGGTCGGTATGTCGACACAAAGTAAGCGGCATTCATCCACTCAGCAAGCATCTCTGTGTTCTTGGACTCGTCAGCAAGGTAGCCTTAAGGCTTGCGAACCAAGTCTAAAACCATACCGATAGGGTGGCACTCATGCCAATGATTTGGGTCTTCTGTCGCAAGAGGAGTAGTTTGGTGACCATGAGTTCCAACAAATACCCGCGATGTTCATCATCGAGCATATGTAGCTCGTCCAAAACGACTACACCCAAGTCGCCAATGCTGCATTCTTCAATGGCGGAATTGATTAAAGAGTTCGCCTATGTGACAACTCTCAGAAATGGTTCGTGACTTCAAGGACAAAGAGATACGCACCTTCTCAATTGTGCAGACAGCTATGTCCGTGTCTGCCCAGGATGCAGCAGTCCTGCTTCCACCATAGTACCCAGTGACACGGATCGATCGCTGGAGCTTGTTCCACCGGTGGTGGTACGGTTTTTCGTTGGCTGCTTGGTCATTAGCATCGTGGGTGATTTTCTCGACATCCTGTACGATGCGTCTGAGCCACTTGAGCTTTTCTTGTACCAAGGCAACATAGGGAAGGACAAGGATAGCCTTGCGTCCGGGGTTCTCAATGATACGCTTAAGCATCAAAACATCGGCGACGAGAGACTTCCCCCCGCCCGTGGGGGCTGTGTAGACTAAATGCCGGTCGCCCTTGAGGAGGCCTGGCGCTAGAAGGCATGACGCCTGCCACTGGTAGATACTGCTAAGCCCAGCTGCGGCAAAGTTGGCCACCAGTCCTGGAGGCAACCCATACGTGGGGTGATTCAAGGACAAATAAGGGTTGTGTGCCGGATCCTGGTCGGTAGGAAACACATTCGGCTGTTGGCCACGACACGCCGGCAGCGTCTCAGCAACCGGATAGATGTCACTGGCGACCAGACGAGCCTTGGGAAGGATGAACGAGGGGCGGATAAAATCTACCGACCGACCAACCGCACTAGATACAGTCGTAGGATGTCTGACTCCCACTGGCCTGTGATCATCGTCTGCAGTAGGGTCCGGGGGTCGCTTGTTTCCAGCCAATGGGACTACCTCGAACGTCCGCTGGCGGGCAATATCGACGGATGTCTGAAAGCCATAGGTCTGAAATGGCTGCCCAGGTGGTGCAGACATACCTGGGTCGACGTTTAGACCTCTGTACAGCTATGGCGGCTCTCGTGGGGCTCCCATACGCAATGAGAATCATGGAAAGTATAATATGATCGGAGAGTGCCCAGGCAACATTGGAAGGATGGCTAATCCCGGTGGGACAAGGAACTAGCTTGGTATAAACGAGACACAACAAAAATGAGAGGAATAGATATCCAAACGTGTTAAATATTCAGCCAGGCCAGATATGTTAGTACTGATGATGGTGATGATGGCAGCAACCATGACAGAATCTTGGCGAGACCTGTTTGTGGTGGTGATGGTTCTGGCAGGAACGCGGGTGCAACGCGCTCGTTTCGGGAAACTTGCATCCCATCCAGTAACTAAGTAAAGATGTGGGTGACCCATCGGCCTCAGGCACCACACCCCCGATCTATCTTGTCGGCGAGCCTTAGGCCGCTAGGTGGTACTTACGTACACTACATACTACATCCTGCAAAGCCTTATAGGCTCAAGTTATTCTGCTGTGGAATGAGCAATGAACAAATAGTATAAAGTTCATACCCAAGATACGATAACCCAATGATAATATATCATAGTGACAATTACTAGTAATATTGATAGTAGGTGTGATGGGCTTTTTTATTTTTCTGTTCCCGTGCGGAAACGTTCCTGGATCGGCTCACCCGCTAATCGGAGCCCTGCTGATCCGCCAGTCGAAAGGAATGACTTACCCAACGGAGGTTGGTCGTGTGCTAGTCAATAGCGGCCTGCATCTTCCGTGGGCAAGTGGCACTGGCCATATGGTGCCTAGCAGCGTCCCCGGATATGATGATTATTCCTCTCCGTACGGGCGAGGGAACTGAAGTAACGAGTTCGGCAGCCAAAAGATCAAAAGCAGCAATGTGAAATGAAGACAACGGCGATCGCATTGATCACAACGAATTTCATACGAACGTACTTCGATCAGTCAGTAGGTGTCCAGTGTTCACCAGCCCGGGCAATTCCACCCTGCGACCCAGTTGGGGGGCACAGACGTTAGAAAGAATCCAGCTGCCACGCTATTCCTTCTTGTCCCGCGCGCGCTCTGCAGACTAAAGGTAGGTGAGTAAGCAAGGGTGGCCGGAGAAGAAGCCCGGCTATCAGAACCCAACATTTATTATTGATCGCTAGTTGAACTTCATGTTCACCCCCCCTCTCTCATACATACCTTCCGACAAGCATCGGGATACTCTTCTGGGAGAGTGGGAACTGCATCAAACCTGCCTCCAAGAAACAAACTTTCACTATGGAACTTACCGCATAAATATGACAATATTTCTCTCTGAGCAACACGATTGTCTCGTGCGGGCTGGCTGCCTGGGGTCACCTGACGATTAGGATCATAACAGCCTTTTGACTACGGAAGAACTAAGGTAAGGCCAGGCAGCCTCCGACTCCATACGGAGTGCTAAAATGCGGACCTGCGCAACACGAGTCTGGCTTACCGAGTATTATTTTTTTTTTCTCATTATTGACACGCCCCTTCATGGGTTGGCTCATGTGCGCCCTCTCCTCACATCCCGCATTGCGAGCCTCTTGTGTACAGTCATCATTCCCATGAACCTACCAAGCCATGTATAATAGTGAATTGCCGTGGACATCAACTTAATAGCTCAACTTCTATCCTGGGAATGCTCCGGCTTAGCTCTATCTACACTGTACATGGTCACGCTGAAGTGGCCAGAGTGTCCCAGGTAGACGGATACCTCGGGCCAAAGTGCCATTCTTCTTCAACATTGTTGAACCGGAGGGCTATGGGCCCGAAAAAGAAAAGGAAGGGTGAAAAAAGGAAAAGAAACGAGGGAAAAAAAGAGCAAAGAGGGAAGAAGCCCACACCCCCAAGTGATCCACCCACATGTGGCCACTCACGCTTAAGCAGACTTGATCAGACTTACATTCCCCGTACACCGTATCATCATTATTCATGACAATTAGGGTGGTTCTTCCTCACACCTTTACGAGTTTCGTTCTGAGCAATTTGCAGTGCTCTTATTTGAAGGAGAATCCAGCGCAAGAATCCCAGCTATATTATATATAATCCAACCTGGCTTACCTGAGCTGAACCTGATCTCGTTGTTCATGTGTACATCGTAACACATTAGTTCGTTCCTTCCTAGGGCCCTCTGCAGGCACTAGTCAGTTCCGAGGTGCCAGACTCCTTCATACCGTCCCCATCACAGTAGCGCGCTCTTTAGCATCGGACGATCAAGTCACTTTGCCGCGTCTACACCTTACACGTTTTGGACGGTCGGTTGGGTTGAGTAGAGACAGCCGAGCACTATAATTGGGGGTTGTGTTTCCGGTCATCAGATGATGATCATGAGGAATCAAATCACTGGGACCTTCAAACTGTAAATTCCCAATATTTCTGGTTCAAGAATCGACTGCCATTTAAATTAGCCCCCCAGGTATCGACAACTAGTTTATCGATTCTAGTAAGACGTGAGCGAGTCGTAACAGGTCAGTCCGTCCGGCTTAGTACTACACTATAGTAGCTGTCGGTTTAGGCATTTGAAACACCAGAGCCGACCAACCCCGGTCAATCTACCTTTGACGGGGAAAGACTATCATCTCCAAGCCAGTAAACCATCCACCGTACCTAGTTACTGCTTGCTACTTGAATACCAGGTCCTATCTGAAGATACCATCAATACTTGGTACGGAAACCACTTCATGGCCACCTCTCAGATGAGGGGTGCAAACCATTTCCATGTTGCTTGGGTTAAAGGAAGGGTAAGTGCCAGCCTTGCTGAAGGCTGTAATGTGGCAACAGAATCAGGACGTCCAGCGCGGCAACCAAGTCGCGGTCTCATTGGACCAGGTTGACTGGCGGTTTCTGATCCCAGGAGTTTCCAAGGTCCGCTGGTCGCCCGGAGACCTGGGATGCCTTCCTGCTGGGCTTATCGGGGTGATGGTGATGATGTAACTTAGGCCAGCTTCAAATTGATCGACCTCGTAAAGTACAGCAATACTGATTATCATTCCTCCAGGCACTTGGGGAGATCCAGATGATTGGGACAGAATTCCCCGGAGCACTGGTCATCATCCGAAATATCTACCTAACCTGCTGCCATCCGGCCGGAACGTCCCTTCGGATGAGCCAAGACAATCGAAAAGAAAAAAAATAAAAAATCCTCGCACCCAAACGATCCGCCGTCGCGGGGGAGATCCATACTGAACCATGAGATAAGGAGTAAGTACCTTACTACTTAAGGACTTGTTGGCTTGCTAGAATTAGGAAGGCGAGTTGAAGTGGTATTATTATTATACCCTAGACCAGGCGCTAAGGGTTGGGCCAAGTTCCCGCTCTGGTGGACGGATTACTGTTATCATCACCTCATCGCCGCAGCTGGACCACATGCGCCCACTTCTGCTTCTTTTGCAGCACAACGACAACCGCCGTCAACTGGATATCATTTCCCCCCTTGGCCGCGCGCGTTCTTGAACGGCTTGTCCCGGCAAGACTGGCCTCGCAGGCCAGGATCACACGGAAGTGATAGGGGTAAATTTCCGCACCGGAGGGATGGGGCCGTCAGTTCAGTGGCCGAGAGTGGGTAGGTTCACATAAGAAGGCCCCGGGCCTGCCTGAGGATCGACTTTGTGTCGCTGCTAATCACCACTAGTCAATTAGCATTGCAGGTCGAAGGGAGCCATGGAACTGGCACCCTCCCTCCCTCACCCTTTTCGTCTTGTCGCTGAACCGAGTTTTCGGTTGTCCGCCTAAGCTAAAATGGCTTAGCATTTCCAGCACGTATCCATGCCTCCAGTCTCCGGTCGTACAGGACCACTTCTTTGCGCCAACTTGCCCCTCCCCTTCCCTTAGGTCAGTCAGTAAGAAACCACCCCCGGGAAAATCTCTCTCAGCATGGACCGTCGGTCCAAACTCAAAGACGGTGAAAAAGGCGAGTCCGGTACCATGTTTCAACCTCGATCGCCTTCTGGCTGGCCACCTGCTTGCTAATTATTGTCGAGTTGCCTCTGCTGCTGATGTAGTAAATGCTCTCCGCCTACGAGATTTCATACATGATGCTGTTGCTGCTGCTGCTGCTGCTGCCACTAGCACCATAGATCAGCCGCTATATCTAAAGTAAATAAGCTATTTTAGACAAAGAATTTATTCAAGTTCAGGCGATATCATTTCCGATGTTTATCGTTGTTATTATATATTTTCTATACAACTCCACGGAGTGATTCACTAACTTTGGAGGAGGGGGTTGGGTGTTCTGCAAATAGGAGGCCCTGATTTAGTACGTAGTTCCAGAACACCCCCGTAACAATGCGGTATCACTGCCACGAACGACCTCCCATACCATGCCTTTGACTCTCCAACAATCCCCCGCCCACTTTTCGACTTGAGTTATACATGACATAGTTCAGGGATAATCGTTCTCCGTATGAATAAATGGAATAAATAAAAAGGGAAGGGGGAGGAAATGAACTGGGAGAAGAAGAACCTTGAACTATTTCTTTTCTTGTCCAGCCGACCCTGCTCCTGGTTACGATGCTGACGCCGTTTCCGTTGTCCTAGACTGAAACAGACGATATCCGCTGCGCCTTCGATGGCATGGATGGGTCCATCTGTCCACTCGGCACTCACTGCACAAGGACTTGGCGCTCTGGATTTCAGATCCAACGCGCATGCGCTGCCCTACGTGACAACATTCCTGCCACAGATTCGACATGCCCTCTCGCTGGTTCTCCTGCCCAGCGCCTCATCTCCTACCTGCAGTGTCTTTTTCCCATGCTATTCCTCTTACTTTAACTGTGTATTGACTGCCCGAATGTAAGCAATGATGGAGGGAAGGAGAAGGGCATGCATAGATCCAGAGTATAATAATGAATGAATGAACGCATGACTGGATATGCGGATGAGTGAAATATGAATGAATGCAAAGATCGTTTGACCCGTCTTTATCATTATTGTTATTTTTATTATGATTATTATTATCATTTCTCTTGATCATTTTCCTTCTGTTCTCTTCCCCCCGTTGCCCTTCTCCCCTTTGTCCGTCCCATGTCCTCTTTCTTTTTTATTATTTTTATTTTTCTTTTCAATTTTACCCTTTTTCCTTTTCACTTCCAGTTTTCCCCTGCTGCTTAATTTTAGGTTTCCAGGTCCCTCCCCCATTCCCCTTCCCTTCCATTCCCATTACTCTCTCCCTCTCTTTCTCTTCTCCTCCCGTTCTTCAATCGCCATGGCCCCTCTCTCCCGATATCATCATCATTCTTTCGCATTCGGGTCTTTCGGCCCACACAATCCCTTTTTCTCTCTTCCCCCCTCCAAGGGCCAGCGACTAATATCCGAGGGAGAGATCTTTTACTAGTACGAAAGTAAATCCACTAAAAACCCAGCGTCCCGACGTAGATCACCCAACGGGTCAAACACGCCGCCGCCTGGACGAGCAAGGGGAGCAAGGTGCTATAAAAATAAACCCCGAAGCCCAGACACGGATATCCATTCATACATGCATCCATACAACCATGCATCCTACATAATGCATCCATTGTAGACTGTTGAAGTAGGTCAAACTCATAGATATTTTCAGGAAAGAGTGGGAGGCAAAAAGTAAAGCGAGCGAAGGGAGGGAAACCTGGGTACCGTCCGAGCTAGGTATCAAGACCGGTTGGAGCCAGCATGAGTAGAAATGGCCGGGATGGGGATGTGCAGATAGGACGAAGAGCCGATAGAGCAAGTTATGCGCCAGAGAGGAAAAGCGAGAGGGAGGAAGGGAAAGCAACTATTCATCTGGTTCATGGGAGTGGATGGAGGATCCGTCATATTAACACATCGGGACTAGGGGCGAGGACGTGGACTGGTCGGGATCCTCGACGGCTTTCCTGATTCTTTCTGGTCTCTTGTCTCTCGCGCGCGCTCTCTTGCTCTCTCGCTTTCTTCCTCTTCCACTCCTACTACCACTTGCTGCTGTTGCATTTCCATTTGCCTGTCCCTTTTCCTTTCTGATTTTTGACTCGCGTTTCTTTCCGGGTCACGAAAGAACTGCCAGTTTGGTTACTATTGCTGCTGGCTGCTATCTTCGCCTCCCCTCTCTTTCTCTCTGTCTCTCTCCGACATCCACACCCATCCATCCATCCATCCATCTTCTCTTCTTCTTCCCTCTTCCCTTTCTTGCCTCCCAATCCCTCCAAACTATCTATCTATCCCCCTCCCCCTTCCGATCAAACTACGCTTTTAAGACACATCTGCTTCTCTATTACTCCTACAATCCTCTCTCATCACAACGTCATTCCCCATCCCATCTGTATGGGTTCGTGCTTTACTTCCATGCTTGGGTAGTCCCGGTCCAGCATACATCATCCTTCATCGATCAATCAATCAGGTCCCTACTAGTGCCGATTAAACGACGGCTCTTGTATCTAGCTTCGCTACTTGCCTGCCCCTACAGCACATTACGGACTGACTGACTCCCATAACTTCCTGTGGTCGTACTTTTCTGCCACCTCCGCCGACTGGAGAGATCTGACTGGCTGGTGGTGCAAGTACTGATCTTATCCTGTGCTCACCCCACGAGTCTCCCAACGCCCTAAGTGGCTCTACTGCTTGTTTGGCTTCCACCGCCGCTAACCTTCATTTTACTACTCCGACGTTTCCAGCGACCCTTTCCCTTCTTTCTTTCTTCCCTCACTCACTTCTCTCTCTCTCACTTTCACTTGCTTTTCCCTTTCTCTCTTCCTCTTCCATCTTCCTCTCTCGTCTCTTGTCTCTTTTCCCTCCCCCCTCCTACATTCTTTCTTTCTTCCCTCTTCTCCTTTTCGCCTCATCGTTCATGCAGTTCGGTAGTCTCTCCTCCCCGCCGGTCTGCTTTCTTCCTGCTTCTTCTTGTTGTTCCTCTGTAATCCTTCCGCCCCGTTCGGGTTGGTGTTGTTCTTATCACTTTCCGGAAGCCTGTCGATCTTGATATTCCGCACCCTGTGGGCGTTTCCCAATTTTTGCCCTTTTGAACACCCACCAATCTTGACCCTTTCGGCGCCCTTGCGGGAGAAACTAAAGTGAATCGGTCCCGACAAGCAAAGCTGCTGCCACTTCTCCATTACATTACGCTTTCTGGGTTTTGGCGGGTACCATTGATTGACGGTTCCCCAGTTGCTTCGGGCAAATATTTGCAGTGCGAGGCCTGATCCATTTTCCCTTTTTCCTCTTCTCTTTTTTTTTCGTGTTCCCTTTTTTTCTCTTTCTCTCTCCCTTCCACCCGGCTGCAGAGTTCCCCATCTCATGAGGGATCGACTCTCCGTCCCGGCCCGTTGCTGAGCTTTGCATCTCCGCGTCGTCCCCGTCCAGTTTGGTGTTCCCTTTACTCTTTCTATCCTGTGGACATTCAAACGCCAACCAACCACGCCGGAGGTGCATCGCCCACGTCTTTTTCTCTTACTTCCCCCCAACAACGCTACCCTTTTCTATTGGTATTATACATCTCCTCCTACTTGAGGCTATTTTGGGAATTCCACTAGAGGGTTGGCCATGGCCCCGGACAGGTCACCGTCCCAAAAGGCCCCTCTCAATCCCGGGAAACCCAACTCGTCGTCGCCATCTGGCACATCCCGTCGAATGCCCACCCCTGGCCAGACTTCCCGAACGGGGTCGGTAGAGGCGCCCACCCCCCAAAGTGCCGCCACCGGCAACGACCTCACATCTCAACCCATGGCTGTCAGCGCGTCTGCTTCAGACGTCACCGCGACGGAACCTCCCAGCGCGTCCACCACCCCGGCACCGTATGGGACTCGCTCCAGAGGTCGCAATGCCGCCCCCCGCCCCAATTATGCGGAAGACCGCGACATCGACGTCGACCTGGAGATCGCCCAACCAGTTTCCAAATCCGCCAAACGGAGTAGCGGTGTTTCCGGCAGCTTCGTCAATGGCGTCAAAGCCGACAGTGAGGAGCCCGTCTCATCGGCAACGTCGCGGAAGAGTCTAACGGCGGTCAATGGTGCCAATGGCGCGGCTGCTGCCAAAGACTTGATTCCTGGCACTTCTTCATTTTCCGCCAAGTTCGAGGAGGGGGCGGCACCGACCTCAGCCAACTCTTCGTCCAGGAAACGGAAACAGCCGGCCAGTTCCACCACCTCTAATGCTGCGAGTGGGAATGCAGCCAAGAAGATCTTTACGACGGCCCCAGGACTAGCGTACAACCCGGCCGAAACCAACATGGTCAGTTTCGAAAGCCGCGGTGCCTATCTAAAAGATGGCAAACTCAGAGCCGATGACGGCACAACTTACGCCGTCAATGGTGAGATTCACCTCCTTGATTTTTCTCTATTTTTCCATTATGTTTTTACTTGATAACATTGCTGCTGTGGCATAAAATTATACTGAGTATTCTCATCTAGACCACGTCTACCTGATCTGTGAACCGCCGGGGGAACCGTACTATCTGGCACGGATCATGGAATTTCTCCCCTCCAAAGATGCGCCCTCCGGCCCGATCGAGGCACTGCGGGTGAACTGGTATTATCGCCCACGTGACATCCAGCGCAAGGTCGCCGACACGCGTTTGGTCTTTGCCTCCATGCACTCCGACACATGTCCTCTCACATCCCTACGCGGAAAATGCCAGATCCAGCACCTGTCGGAGATCACCGACATCGACACGTACCGCAAGACCCGGGATTGTTTCTGGTACGACAAGATGTTTGACCGATACATCCACCGCTACTACGACGTAATCCCAACCAGCAAGGTCATCAACGTCCCGGGCAACGTCAAAAAGGTTTTGGACGAGCGCTGGAAGTTCGTTCTGGTCGAGATCGGACGACGGAAGGAGCTCACCAGCGCCGTGAAGACCTGCAAGCGCTGTAGCTTGTACGCCGCAAGGTATACCGATTCATACTCTCCATGATGGGCTGATTCAATCATACTAACGTTGGAATAGCAATGACTCGGTGGATTGTGCCGTCTGTCACAGCACTTATCATATGTACTGTGTTCGACCGGTACTGACGAAGAAGCCGGCCCGTGGCTTTGCTTGGGCTTGCGCAGCGTGCAGTCGCGCTCAAGAACGAAAGCTCGAGGCACGGAATACCCCGATATTGGGCGAGAATCAGCCGGAAGCTGATGAGGAGATGGTCGAAGAGGAGGAGGAAGAACCCCATGGCGCGACGAATGGTACCACAAGCAGCACTCCGGCACCCGTGGAAGAAGAGGTGCGTCCGGCTACAGAAGAACAGGTTGCGCAAGCCAGAATGTGGCCCTATCGCTATTTGGGAATTCACTGCCGTGTCGAAGACGCCCTCGATTATGACGACCGGATTTACCCGCGCGCCAGCTCGCGGTTGGGTCCTCGGCATCAGGCCATGGTGAATGCCTGGCCTGGAAAGCCGGTGGAGTATGTCAAGCCTATCGACATCAAGAAAAAGTATATGCGAGGATCCGGAGGCCGCAAAGATTCGAAGCTTTCCAAGGAAACTGTGGCCGCCATCGAAGCCGCCAAACAGGAAAAGGCCAATCGACCGAAGTGGGTCATGGACGAGCCCCTAGGATACGTGCGGCGCGGCGAAGACGAACCAGTCACTGTGGGCGGGAAGCAAGTCCGCACTGCAGAGCCAATGTTCAAGATGCCCACTGCAGACCAGGTTCCATCCTCTCGGGGCGAAGACGACGCGCCTGGTTCCCATCTCAGCCCCGCCGAGCGGGAAAAGTTCGTGGACGATTACATGGAACGCGCCAAGGCGTTGGCTCCCCAACTTGGGGAAGAGAAATACGCTACTAATTTCCTCGACAAGGCTCTCGAACTCCTTTACTCTAATAGCTTCAATGCCGACGCGGCTTTGGCAAAGTTGAAGACGATGAACAAGTACAAGGATCTCAAAGAGCCGCATCTACGCCCAGAAGAACTGAAACTCTTCGAACAGGCAGTTTCCAAGTTTGGGTCGGAGTGGCGGAATATTACCAAGTACGTGGGTACTGTGCCTCACTACCAGATTGTGAGGTTCTACTACATGTGGAAGAAAACGCCGCGTGGTCGTCAAATCTGGGGCGCTTATGAAGGCAGACGGGGCAAGAAGGAAGCGAAGCGAAGCAGTGCGGCGAAGCTAGTGGACGATGTGGCCGACGATCATGATGACTCGGCATTTGATAACGACAAAGCCGTCGAAAAGAAGCGTGGGTTCCAGTGCAAGTTCTGCTCGACGCGAACCTCCCGTCAGTGGCGGCGCGCTCCAGGTACTGCGCCAGGCACTACTACCTCGAGCGAGCCTGCGTCGAAGCAAAAAGATAAGGGATCACAACTGACTGTGGCCCTCTGCTTGCGCTGTGCATTGCTATGGAGGAAGTACGGTATCCAGTGGGAAAGTGTTGATGAAGTAGCCAAAAAGATCGCGCAAAGTGGTAACAAGTCCTGGCGTCGCCGAGTAGATGAGGAGCTTCTGACTCAGCTCCTCGTCTCCACCGAGACCCCCATCAGTATCAACAGCGCGACTGCAGCGACTGCGGCTTCAATCGGCGTCCCGGTGAACGCTAACCCACAAGTGCAGCAGGAGACTACAAAGAAGAAGGGAGGGCGGACCACCGAGAAAGACAGCGCCGCGACATCGACAGCCACTTCCGTGGAGCCAGCTCCAAAGAAGAAAGTCGCTGCGGACCGCATCCCTGAACCTCCACCAATCGTTCCCGATCCCCCTAGGGCCAAAACGCTCCCATGCTCCATCTGCAACAAGATGGAGCCGGAAGGCGACCAGCATCTGTCTTGCCGAGACTGCCGCCTGACCGTGCACAGAAGCTGCTACGGCGTCAGCCCGTCGCGAAACTGCGTCAAGTGGCTTTGCGATATGTGCTCGAACGATCGCGACCCCATGATCTCGACCACGTATGAATGTGTCCTGTGTCCAGTGACCTGGACGGAGCATGAATTGATGGAGGCGCCGAGGTCGACACACAAGAAGAAGACTGAACGAGACCGGGAGAAGGAGCGGCTGGAAAAGGAGATGGTCAATGAGGCTATCAAACTCTACCGACAAAGGCAAGAGGCTGTGGGCAAACCCATCGGTCCTCGAGAGCCATTGAAGCGAACGGCCGGCAACAACTGGGTTCATGTCACGTGTGCCATGTGGACGCCAGAGATCAAATTCGGCAACGCAAAGGAGCTCGAGCCTGCTGAGGGTTTCAGTCTGATCCCAAGGGATAGGTGGCGCGATGTGTGCAAGATCTGCAAGAGCGATAAAGGCGCATGTGTGCCGTGCCATTTCAACAACTGCAACGCCCGTTTCCACGTCGGTTGTGCATTCCAAGCGCAGTACAAGTTTGGGTTTGACATTACCCCTATCAAAAGCTCTAGAAGGGATACCGTGAACAGTGTACGGCTAGGAGAAGAGGTTGGATCGGCCTCGGCGGGGATCTGGTGCCCTCATCATCCAGTGTCGGCGACGATCCATGAGATCGGCGAGCCTACAGAAGAAGAGGGTGTCAACGCTTTGCGGCGGTATGCCGAGGCATACAAACAAGCCGACCTGACCTTGACGGGAACTATTAGAAAGGCGGCATATGTGCAACAATTGGTCAATGTCTCACATCAGACTGCGACACCTTCCGCGAACCGCCGAGTCTCCTCTGTTCACAGTGTCACGGCACCCCCGGTGGTTTCAGCGGCTCCAGCAGCTCCAGCAGCTTCGACAACGCCAAAGGACAATCACAAAACACCAGAGGATGCTCCGGATGAGATGGTGATCGATTCTGAAAACCATGCCCCCCGGCCTGTCACTGATACTGATGTGACGAGAAAGTGTGCGCGCTGCTCGAGTTCCTTCAGCCCCAGATGGTGGCCTCTGGAGAAGTCGCGACGCACGACCGGAGTCGATCACCGGACGCCTCTGCTTAACGGGGTCGGTCTGAATGATCCTGTGGGGTCTCGGTTCAGCACAGCCTCTGCAAGCCCTCCATATCTCCATCAGACTCCATCCCAGCATGGTCTGCCGCGCCTGAACGGGGAGTACAGTCCAGAGAAGACTACTTTGTCGACGGTCAACAGCGAAGGATCGCAGACTTTGTACGAGTGCCACAAGTGCCATCTTAAGAAGCCAGTGGCCCAGGCCCAGCCATCGCCCGAGCCTCGTCCATCTCCCTACTCGGCACAACGCCCGGTCCTGCCTGCGCCCAAGCTCACCGAGTACCACAACCACCCGTTTGGCAATCACCATGGCCATCCGCCGCAATCTGGAGTGCTTCCTAGACCGATGGGGCTCCCTCACGGCGGCTCCGAATGGCACCCCGGCTATGAACAGCGTCCGGCGGATTTTGGTGACAGCAAGCTGCGCAACGGATTACCTGTCCCTGGCTATCGGGCAGCAGCACCACCGCCGCCACCACCGTCCGCACACCATATGAACGGATTTCCGCCCACCCCCTCTCATCATGCTCCACCGCTACCCCATTACCCTCCGGGATCCCACGCTCCACCCCAGCCGTTCCCGACGCACCAGAGCCCGTATGGACCTGTGTCGATGCCCTCGCCTCATCTTTCCCATGCGACAGGCGCACGCCCGTATGCTCCGTCTGCATCGCCTCCGGATGTACAGGCGACAATGGTCCGGCACTCGCCTCAACATTCGCTAAGCGCATTGAATGGTGGGCCCCCGCCACGTGTCTACTCTGTGGATCGCGTGCTTGGAGCGCCAGCACAGTCGCCGCCCGTCTCGCAGGCGCATATGGATCCACGAGGACCGACGCCTCCGGTTAAGCCAGAGGACACACCGGTTATACCTAGCGCCGCCAGGCATACCACGGCCAGCGGGACGAATGGCGGGTCGGGGGCTAGTGCGAGTCCGTCTTTGAAGAATTTGCTTTCCTAGGACGCGAATATTCCTTACCTGCCACTGGCATAGAATACTCACTCCGTGTATTATAGCGCTTTCTTTTTCTCCTTTTTCTGTTCCCATTTCTTTAACCTTTTTGCATCATTCTCTTATTGTTTCTTGATTTGCGGTCTGTTTCTGTCATGGCATGGTTAAAAATGGGGATTGGGATATTATGAGCTTTCTCATCAGCGTTATTTTAGATTTCCACTTATGAAGTGCGGTTGTCTCTTTGTGTTATTCCATTTCTTTTTCTATTTCCCTTTTGTCAACCATCTATCTATCTATCATCTGGCTTTTTCAAAGTCTTCTCTTGTATGTTTTTGATAATCATGAGAAGGCGCATACTCGAAATGGTTTTTTGAATGCCGTGGCTACCACCAGGATCGCATATTGCATGATAAGAAATGCTCAATACAATCGAATACTATTATATTAATATACCAAATCCAGCCATCACATGTCCATTAATATGCCCTATTATAGCTATACTAGTATACTAGCCTGATATAATCTAAAGTAGTTAGTAGTAAGTGGCTAGTTAACTACTAGTGGTTAACTGACTCAGATTCTGCAGCCAACCCTCAGCACCGCGACTCATGGCCCATTGACCAATCCCATCCAAGTCGATCGATAGTAGTCATGCATGCATGCAGTGGCAAGGTCTGCTGCTGCTGCCTATCAAGGCAGAATAACTAACATATACCTGGAATTTAAGGTGTTAATCTAGTAGGTACTTAGGTTAATGCGGGGTAAGTTATTAATTACAAGGTGATTGCCCTGATTTTCCTGCTGCCTACCACTACTTACTACTGCCGAGGCTGATGGGTAGTAGTATTTTAGCTGCATGCAGGGTTGGTAAGTAGTAGTAGTAGTAGTGTGACGAGACACGGCATGTCTCGTTCTTACTAGTAGTCTTATCTTTGAATCATTGGGAATGATGGATTGATTCTGTTAGGGGATTGGTTGGTGGTGGATGGGGATGTGTGTGGCTGTGTAATGCATTAGTACTTAGTACTATTATTTAGAGTAGGAGTAGTAGTATTGAAGCAGAGATGATTGTCGGATATAGTTGGTGGTGGTGGTTAAGTATGCTGCGGGGAGGGGAGTGAGTTAGTATTTTGGTTTCCATTGTGGGAGGGGGTATGTATGTAGTAGTAGCATTATGGTGATCATGACGATGGTGGTAGTAGTGTAGTGTAGTGTGATGTATATGCGTAGTTGAGGTGGATTGCATACAAAGTACCTTTTTCATTATGGTACTAGTACCTAGTATACTATACATCAGTTCGGAAGTGTATTTCCATTTTACATTATATATTATATAAATCGCATCCTATATTTAGTCTGTAGTGTACTTAGTGAGTAGTAATTGACAGAGGTAATACTTCCGAGCGAAAATTCCATGGTTATTCTATGGTATATCTTATCTCATTCCTGGGTAGATAATTACAAATGAAACTACCGAGGCCAATGTTTTCTCCTTGCATGTGTAGATAAGTTACTACTTAGTAACTGAGGATTGACCCGTGATCTTCTTCCTCCCCCGGCCAGCCCGTCCGGTCGGGGAACTTTGAACGGTTGTATGCAGACATTCTGATTGGTGGCATTCGCGAACGAATCGGCAAGGCGGGATTTGCATTCTTTCAGTTTTGGGGATTATTAATCATCTGTCGACCACTTTGTAGTTACGGTAGTACGTAGTTATCTGTTGAACCTGGTTGTATCTATAGAATGAACAGTCTGGATGAAAGTTTATACCATAGAAGTTATGATTCAGGGAACAATAAAGATAGATCATCATCATCAATAATACCCTTAGTTATTAACTCTGATATCGTACAATCGTAAGAGGCTTCCGCCATTTCTCGTACGTAGCCTGCCGCACAGGGTTCTCATTTCCCTCAACCATGGGTCAGCCATCACATCATCCATCCATCCCATTTTATGGCGTGGTTAGTAAGTAAGCAGCGTGACTCAACAACGCCCCCCTTCTATAGTTAGCTAGGAAAGGATGGAAAAGTCGACGTCACTTGTGGCTGACTCCTGCTGTGCTGTGCCAATTGTCCAGTTGCCACTTGGAGGGGAGAAGGAGGTGGTGGTATGGTAAGGGAGGGATGAACTCATTCCCTTTGGCTTTTTGTGACCAAATCCGCATGTATAGATGGTGTAATCACAACTACATAAGACATGCTGTACTGTGACCACGGAATAGATCACCTATTTCAGAAAGAAAAGGAATTATAATATCTACTTTTAAGTTGGATAAAAGGCATAAAAAGTGCAATACCGACAGTGCCAAGGCCAGTAGACTAGGCTGCACTCTGCACTCTGCGAGCTGAGAGCTGAGAGCAGACCGCCATGTGGGAATGAATGGATGGGAGGGGGCAGAGAGTGTGTGGGAGATGTGTGGATGAACGGAAGGATCGGGCGGACAGACGGGATAGGATGGAAGTTCTAGAAAAAAAATAAAGAAAGATGATGTGTGTGCGCGAGGGAGGGGAGTCAGTCAGTTCAGTTCAGTCAGTCAGTCAGTCAAGTGTCTGCCGAAGGAAGGGAAGGAAGGAAGGAAGGAAGCGGGCGGGCAGGGCGGCCAGAACAACAATCCACATCCATTCATTCCTCACTGACCACCTACTAACCAGTAAACTAGTCACTATTAAGGTAGGTGGTTAGGCTGTTACACTGACTCGTCGGTGCTTTGCTTGCTGGGAAACCTGTACTTGTTTAGTATCTGGGCCGTCGTGTCGCTTTGTGGCTGGCGATCGACGGGACATGAACCCTTCTCTCCCCCAGGGTTCGTGAGTTTAAGAGTTTAACGGTGAGGGTAAAAGGGAAGTACTTAGTACGACACCCAGAAAAAAAAATAATAATATTTATGTGTGGATTCAAACAGTTAAGTAAAACAAATTGCACAGTCTAGTAATACGTACCTCAACCCAAGATGATGGGGAAAATGGGGAAACTGACTTGTTGATGTCATTTGCTTAGTTTCAGTTTCCAGGGTTGAATTAGAGCCACTTTGGATCAAGCCCGCTCATCGTCATTTTAGCCGGTATCTAATCTAGACCCTCGAAAATGATATTGGAAGCAGGAGTAATTTAGGATGGCCGAAACATTTCCTCCCCGGTGATGATGATGATGACGATGAAGAAGATGGAGAGGACAAGTATGTTTAACCAGTACAAGTTAGTGTAGTGAGCGTGCACCAAGTGATTGAATAATAATAATAATAATTATAATAACAACCAGCGCAGGGAAATTAAATCATCCCTCCTTCCAGCGCCCGGCTAAGGCGCCAAGCCCCGCCCGGGAAATTCTAGAAAACCAACAGAGTCCAGCCTGGAGCTAATGAGATCGCTTGCTTAAGCGTCATCTTTCTCCACTTTTTTCTTTTCGCTCTCTTTCTGTTTTCTTACCTTCTCTCCGCTCACTCTATCTCTTTTCGGGTTGCCTGCTTGTTTTTCCTTTTTTTCATGTTCTTTTTCTTTTCCCTGTATTGTCATTTGTGGTTCTTTTCTTCTTTGGTTCTGGACGGGCAGCAACTGAGGGGGGGTTTACGTATCCTGTGTCCTTAATCTCTCCACTGGTTCTTGTGGTTTCTTCGTTCAGGGCAATTGAATCATAGTAATCATAAGAGTTTTTATTATTAGTATTATCATTATTATAATAATCATCGGGCATAATAATGCCTGAATGAATACTATTTTTATTACTTTATTCTAATTTTTTTATTGTCCTCGTTAGGTTGTGTAATGAAGGTGGAAATCCCTGGGTGGTGCAATGGTAAGTCACACACTCCTGCAATGAATCTGCATCCTGGCAACTTCCATCGAGGTTCTAGTCGAATTCCTTACATCGGTCAGCCGAATACAGGCAACAAACGAGGAGTCCAGATGCACCACCAAGAAAGAGAGCGAGCGAGCGAGCGAGAGAAAGAGCAGGGAAGTGGGGAGGAACACACAGCCGATCGTACCTATCTAGCTTAGACTTGACTCAGGTCAAGACTCGACTCTAGTAACAAAGTAAGTATCTAACCCGGGATTAATCTGTTCAGCTCCGAGGCACGCCCGTCACTAGTCGGAGGAGTCGATTGCATGGTCAGATCGTCCCCATCCTATCGGAAACCTGAAACCCTCGAGGGGAACGAAGTCGGAGGAGACAGACAGACACTCAGACACTCAGACAGATAGGCTGAGTGGCAGAGTCGAGGCTGTTTGGTCAGTTTGGTGATTGTTGTTATTGTTACTTGTTGTTGGTTGACCTGTGTGTATGTGTGTGTGTGTGTTTGTGTGTATCGGATCTGTAATCACATTACCATACGGATACCCACCCACAGCCTTCAATTGGATCTGACGACGACGACGCAAGCCTGCCGTGCCGCAGAGCTTCTGGAAGACTGGCAGAATCCGCAGGAATCCCCAGCAGCAGGAAGTACGAACCTTGTTGAGCTTGTGGTGGTTAAGTTGCTGTCGAAGAAACTCTCTGCTTACTTGTGGTTATTAACTACTAGTTAGTTAATTTATAGTGAGTAATTGAAGAAATGTCATGTCAATAGCCTGTCAGTCAAAAAGTGTGTCTGGTCTTTCTTCATCTTGACTGTCAATCAAGACTTCATCTTGGGTTTATCTGGGGAATTCTGCTAGTGATTCCAATTCTCCATCTTCTGCCCGCATTGTCCACGAACCTCTTTTCCCTCTAGTCTCTAAGGTCTTCCTTCTTTCTTCCTCTTCCTCTCCCTCTCTCTTCTTTCTCTTCCCTCTCGGTCTTCTTTCCTTCCTGCTCGGTTCCTCACCACCAGCACCACCACCACTTACTTACCACCCCGAGTCATTCTCTCAACTCTCTCCTTCGTTCTCTTGTCTCTCTTTCTCCCTCTCTCTCTTTTTCCTTTTCACCCTTTTCTTATCATTTCTAAACTCTTTCTTACATAACTCAAAAAAAAAAAAAAAAAGCTTTCCACTTCATCCACTGTTCCTTTGACATCATCCGTGTCTCCTCTCTTGACATCCTCTCTTATCTCCAACTCTCTCACTCTCTGACCCTTGGGTCCCTTTTCCCCTTGATTTCCCCACGACCACCACCACCACGATCTACTGATTTCATATTTTATTCCCCGTTTTTCTCCTCCCCCCCTCCCTCGATTTCCGAGAAGTGGTTCACTGGGGACTAAAAATTACAGATCCCTTAAAATATCTTTTATTTTATTTTATATATTTATCATTGATTTTTTACCCTTTTTACTTTTACCTAATCCATCGACTCTTATTCTTTTTTTTTTTTTTACTCTGCCACAACCCACATCCCAGCCCAGACCCGACCCGGTCGAACCATCCACCCAAGCCAACCTTCGCCCACCCGTGCGGCCCCTTCGCCCTCTCCTCCCGATCGATCTTCTTTTCCCTCTCCACCCTTCTTCTTTCCTCAAAGTCTCGTGTCATCTTTTCTCCGTCTGGTCTTCACGGTGGCCCACCATGACGCCCTAAGTCTTTGGTTCTTTCTGGGTCGCGAATTTCGTCGCTTTCATCTAGCCGAATTCTCGCATGTGTCGCGATCTCTCTGTCTTCCCCCGTTGGGTCGATTTCACTCGGGCGCCATCTTCCTCCCCCCCGTGGGTGACGAACTGACTACTCACCACCACCACCACCACAACCACCTTCACCACTACACACCACCACTACTACCACTCCCACCTCTCTCACCATTGACCGAATTCCTACCATTCTCTTCGCCTTTTAAATTTCCTTCTTCCCTCTGTCGACTCTCTTCCACACCTGTGAGTGAAACAACCCTGTGTGTTTGCGTGGGCAACTGCCTGTGTATGCAGGTGTGGCGATCGCAGCCAACCGCCGTCTGGAGGCGTGCATGCGGTGCCGGTGCAAAAGAACCCGGTTGTCTCAGAATGGGTTTTGGCTGGTCCTGCACGTTACCATCATTCCTTTCACCCCCCCCACAGGGACGAAGGATTATCGCTCATTCTCCTGCTGGACAGCTGCAGCCAACAAACTCATTGTTCAACTGCGCGCACCCCCCTCGACGGCGGCTTGTCGCCGTCGCTCATCTGCTTCGCTGGTCGCTGCACACTCTTCTTTCTCTTCTTGTCGCCTGCTCCTGTCGGCGCTCGCATATTCTGCAGACCGTTGCGTCCAGTCTCTGAACCTCGCTGACCCAGTCTAGTAACCAATTCAGAACCCAACTGTATAACGTCACCGATCGCAAGTCTCTCCTTTTTCACTTCGACTTTCTCAACGCTCCTTCGCCCCTCTTTGTACCGTGTACCGGCCGTTCGTTCCTCCTTGAGATTTCTCGACCCTCCCACACCACCTGTACTACTATATCCATCAACCATATGAACCCGAGTTCGGACCGGCTAGGCTGCTATATATTCTCCTCTCATATCTGTTATTGTCCTGAGACTTGACATTCCGGAGTGGAGACCCCCCTAGATGATGGGTGTTTCAAATCCAACCGACACCATGGATGGCATCGAATGCTCTGCAATCTATATCGACCACCGTGTCCGATCAGAACGCTGGGTGTATCAAGGTACTCCGGAGGCACCGGCAGGCGCGGAGTCGGATTCGGGAATAATCGAGGAACCGGAATCATTGTCGGCCGACGTTCAAGTTCTGTTAGGAGTTTGTAAACGCATCTACCTCTGTCAGGTCGGCACCGCTATCGCAAACAAATTAGCAGAGATAAGCGACGGGGCTCAGAGTCGCTGCACACCTATCTTCGTTTTCTTCGACATTGATATACACGGCGAGGAGGCCGCTCTGCAGCGCCGCCGAGCGAGCCGTGGTTCGTGGCCCGATGTATCGCCTCCGTCGCCGGCGTCCCTGCGTCGCGGTTTTACCTTCACCTCACAATGGGAAGGGGCGTACGACCTGAAGTTGCTGTCAGGGTTGTCCGCGGACATCCAGGTTCAAGATGGCCCCAACGTGATCGTTCCGGTCGCTGTTCTGCGCCCACCCTTCGCCGACCCCACTAGCGCCTCCCCGGCCGACCAACCCCGTATTCCGTCTTTCCCTGATCCTCAGCATATCTCCAAGTGCCTGGATGCTGGTGCCGTGGACGTGTTAGTAACCCCGTTGGATAGCTGTAGAGCTCAAGCTCTGGTTGTCCAGGCGTACCGGACTCGTAAAACGGCTCTCCGGGAACAGTCGCGCTTCCTCTCCCGAAAGAAACTGCGGAAACACTCGTGGGTGGGCGTCAATGACGAGGAGCCCTATGCGTATCTTCGAGAAGCCATGGTCTCCAAGCTCATGCGAGGCATCTGCAATCCCGAAGAGGTTATTGAGGAGTTCCAGGACCGGGAACTGGACGTTCGTCCGGACCGCGCGGATTTTGTAAGAGAACACATTGCACAATGGGGTTTTACCGCCCATGGATTTTCGGACGACGAATTGGTCTTGGCTGCATTTGAAATGCTGCAGCATGCTCTGCAGTACCCGGAACTGGAGCAGTGGCAGCTGACACCAGGTAAGTAAATTGCCGCATATATTGGTTTAGTGTAGGCCAACTGACGACGGGACTCCCTTTTCTAGGTGAACTCCGAACGTTTCTTCTCGCTTGTCGCGCCTCATATAATTCATTTGTCCTCTACCATAACTTCCGACACGCGATCGATGTGTTGCAATCGGTCTTCTGCTTCCTGTTGCACATCGGCGCTCTTCCCCCCTATGGGCCTAATAGCCCGACGGTCGACGACAAATGTCCGATCGCATCGCTCCTCACTCCGTTCGATACCCTTACCCTTTTGATCTCCGCCATTGGCCACGACGTCGGCCACCCTGGCGTGAACAACTTCTTCCTGGTCAAGCTGAATGCCCCGCTGGCACAGCTATACAACGACAATTCAGTCTTGGAGGCATTCCACTGTGCTGCCTTCTCCCAGATCCTGCGTCGCTACTGGCCGACTGCATTCAAGGATCGGCAACTTCGCAAGCTTCTGATCAGCTCTATCCTCGCCACGGACATGGGAGTGCACCAGAAATTCATGGAACGGCTGGGGTCGCTCCAGGAGAAGTTCCACGAAAACAACCGGACTGTGGATGGGTGGAAGCCCCAAGACTTGGAGCTTTATAAGACACTGCTGTGTGGGCTGCTGATCAAATGCGCTGATATCAGTAACGTGGCGCGCCCGTGGGATGTTGCGGAGAAGTGGACCCAGATCCTGCAGGAGGAATTCGCCAATCAGGGCGAGATGGAGAAGGAGGTTGGGATGGAGACTGCACTATTCGGCGGCCCACCGGAATTAGGGAATATTTACAAGCTCGCCACCGGCCAGATTGGATTCATGTCGATTTTCGCTTTGCCGCTGTTCGAGGGCGTGTCTGACATTCTGCCCGACTTGAAGTTCACGGTCGAGCACATCCGCAGCAACCAGTCGAAATGGCATTTCCTCGCCGACATGGAGAAGAATCGGCAAACCTTGCAGACTGATCTTCGTCCGGACGACTTGGTGTCGCCCCGCACTCAGAGTCCCATCCCAAGTTTGAGGGGCCTCCACGCGCCGCTAGCCATCAATAGTCCGAAAAACCCCATCAAACCAGCCCTTCCGACCAGTGAACCTGCGAGTCGGCGGTCAACCCCAGATGATTACTTTGGTACCGCTCCTACCCCGCTGGGCTCGGACGATGCGCCCAGCGACTATAATGAGAACACTATTAGTCCTGTTGTTTCGCCGGACACGCCGGGCCCGTCTATGGACATCACCGGGTGTTCGATGCCGTCGCCAGATGAGGCCGCCTCTCGCAGATCTTCTGGGGTCATCCCTGAGGGGCAGGCCAACACGCCTTCTGCTCGTCTGAGCGACAATATGGACGGTTGCTCCGACGCAATTCGTGCTTCGAGTGATCCCACCGTTCTGGCGGCTGTCCTGTTTGCCAATGGCTCTGCTGCAGGCAACGGCGACACGTCGGGTCGCTCCAGTGCTCGTAACAGCTCTGTGGAAGGGAGACCGAGTAGCTCGCGGCATGGGCCACCTAGTGGTCGACGCCAGCACGCGAATACAGCCTCGTCGGGACGCACATCGGGGCCCTCGAACTCACAGCGGAACAGTTGCACTCGCACGCACAGCGTCAGCACCTACAGCAACAACATGACACCGATCTCTCCGTCTACGAATGCCACTAGTTTCCTCAGTGTGGACAGCGATGACAAGGGCTTCCCCCGCGAAAGCATCAGTCGGAGTGACGGCGAATGGGACCGGGCGTACACGCGACCAGCCACATCGAATCACCCACAGGTCAGCGCTGCATACCCGAGCACTCGCCGGGCTTCCGATCCGCACAATTACGATGCTGTTAAGGTGACGTCGCCGGTGGGGAATGGGACGAGCAGCTCGGCACAATCGACGACGACGACTGGAAGCATGAAAAACGATGGGCGTGGGCCCCGGTGGGACGAGCACGGGTCCAAGGAGCACGCACCACCGCGCAAGCTGCCGAAGCGACGAAGCCGACTGCGGTTGGCGTTCTGGAAGCGGCGCACACATCACTCGCATCAGCACGAGCTGAGCGGGGAGACGTGATGGCCCGGAAAGTTGATTGGATTTCAGTTTTCTCTTGTTTTCTCGTTTGGGATGATTCACGGTGTTCCTGGCGGGTTGGATTTTCGCGAGTGAGCAAAACGAGGGTTGGGATTACATGGGCACATATGAATGGGAAACATTCTGGTGACGACTCTGGATTTTATGATGGAATTGCATGATTTGACGACCGGCTCGGTGGATATAGCTATATCTGAGCTTTTGACGATGATGCTCAGCCAGACATTGCGCTGGTCTGGCCGGCATGGCACATTTACTTCTTCGATACTTTTTTTTTTTTTTTTTTTTTTTTTTTCTTCCTCTTCTTCCGATCTTTTTCTCTTCTTTCACCTCACATTATCCACTTTACACATTGACCATTTCATTTTCATTTGTCACCATACAGAGGCGGGCAGGACGGGGCAACTAGAGACGGGGCGTGGACTGGCGTTCTGGAGGTGGCTCAGGCAGGACTGTACTTGATATTTTGTATGGGTTTATTCCTTTTTAAATGGACTTGAGCACATATGCTTGTTTGCATTTACATGATGATTCTATTGTTGAGTAGATGATCACTGACACTCCTCACACTTGTCACCTTTCGTAGCAGCAGCAGCAGTAGAACCCTGTTCCTCACTCTTCCCCACAACCTTCATCTCACCCCCTTCCTGACTCTGCACCGGCACATTCGCAGCCCTCAAGGCCCGATCCGTATGTCCCAAATCCCTACTGGGATCGACGACATTCCTCACCAGACTTTTCAACACTTTGACTTCTACATAAAGCCAACAAGCTAATTAGTAATCATCATCCCATTCTATCTCTACACCCATAAACCAAAGGGTGAAAAGAAATGGAAGAGAAAGGATATCACATACCAGGAAACCCCCCATTCGTCTTCCTATCCCAGAGAATAATCTCGGTGATATCTTCCTCCTCATCACCATTACCTGTTGCTGCTACCACTTCACCTTGTGCTGTGCCCGTAGATGTAGAAGTAGAAGAGTGATACATCGTAACAGTAAACACACCTCCCGTGGCAGGAACGAGAGCTACTTCGCCGAGTTGGGTGCTGAATGTGGAGAGGAGTTCTTGGGCGAACTGTTCCCATTTATCAATGTATTAGTTTTGGTTGAATGGTTAGTTTAGTTGTATTAGGAGTATGTGTATGTGTAGAGAATATATGTATGTATGTATGTATGCATGATGTATAGAAGTTAGGGAATGAGGGTATGGGATGGGTGACTTACGTATGCAGCGCGCAGTAACCATTTACATTGGGTGCAGTATTTGATGGTGATGCGGGGGAGGTGGTTGTGCATGTTGTTTGTTCCTTGGGGTTTGGCGGATGTGGTGGGTTGGGTGAGGGGTGGGAGGGGGGAGGTCATTTTTCTTTTCGTTTCTTTTCTTTATATTTTGTATCTTTGGTGGTGAGGGTAGGTGGATGGTGGTGAAAGAGGGAACGGGTAGGTAATTGTGTGAAGAGTACTCCGTAGTTAGTAGTTAGCTAAGTTGGAGGGGATGATTGGATGATGTCAGCGGGTGGGTGGTTGTGGGTTTTAACTTGACTAGTTAACTTGACTACTATTATTATTGTTCATGTAGTATACGACTAGAATTAAGCTAATAACCTAGCCCTGTCTGTCTAATGTACGGCCAGTGCAGGTGTCAATTAATCTTAAAAAGTATTCTCCGAAGTCCGGGTCGTTGCATATGATCCATTCTGTGATCTGCCTTTTTCTTCACTACTTCGCTGCTTATCTGAAATACTGTGTAGGTATGAGCAGTTGCTTCAACTATATTAACTAGCCCATCTATACTACAAACCGGGCGTCCGATTTTGTTTTCCCCATCCCGTTTCCAATATCACTGCTAACACAAAGGAAAGATGTCCAATAAAATCACTAGAAGGGAAATGACTCCTGTCGAGCACACTCTCACGCCCAACACAAAATGAGAAAAAAAGAGAAAAAAGGTGTAACTGGAAGCCCACGGGGAGCCGTGTGTCGCGTTTCAAGGTGAAAATCAGATCATGAACTGGTCCAATGGTGCGACCGCTCAGTCCCTCCCAGTTCATGCAGGTCCAGCGCGCTCCCTCGAGGGCCAGAGCCTCGCATCCGCTTCTCCGTGGTCTCTCTTTTCTGTTTGTCGCTGACAATGCTCACCATTCGGAGCAACAGGGCGGATGGGCTGTCCATAGGTCCAAGGTATGGTGACAGAGAATTAGATATAGGAAGAAAAAGAAAGGGTCGAGAAGTTAAAAAAAAGAAGTGGTGAGAAAAGGTAATTGTCATCGCAAGAGGGGATATAAAAGCGCCGACGGACTGACGGCGACCCTCAGTCCGTCCGAATCAAAAGACGTGGAAATGTCATGAGACCATTACATGACCGTGCAGCATCCTCCCTGCTGCTGAGGGGCGTATGGGTCCTCACGCTTGTCGACCTGCGCGACCGTCAGTAACCTGCTGTCATTGCTGCACAACCCGAAGCAAGTGGAGAAAGAATGTCGCATACCTGACCCCATACGGATGGTACCATGAAATCGCGCGTGTTGTTGCAGTAGTTGATCAACCTGGATAAAACGCGATGGGGTGAGTATCACGCGGTGGCTGGACGGGGGGCGGAGCACGACAGCCGGGGGAAACTTACGACAGAGCAGCCTCGGACACCTTGACACGAGGCCGGTCGAGGTCCTCCTTCAAGCGAGCATTGAGCTCAGTCAAACGACGGTACTTGAGATCGGCCACACTCTGCTTCTTGTTCTTGACATCACCACCCGATCGGAGCTCGTAGGCAGGCATTTTGACGACGGTTGGAGCGGGGGCGAAACGTGCGAAACCCGGGAAGTTAATCGAATCAAGTTGGAGACGTAAGCGCGACGATGAGATCGGGCGGCGGCAGCAGTTGCAGCGGAAGTGGAAGAGACGTTGGGGGTGGATGTGCCTGGAGGTGGAGGTGGAGAGGAAGCAATGTGATGTGTTGGATGGAAGATGGTGGATTCAGCAGGATCGGTCGGGCGGCTCAAGCTTAAGGTTCTTTTTTTTGCGCGTCGAGCCGGCAGGAAAGTAAGGGGAAAAGCAAAGCCGGGCGGGAACGGCGGGCGGACGCGAAAAGGGAGGGAGGGAGGAAGAGGTGGGAGGAGGATGAGGAGGAACTTTGGGGGGGAGGATGGAGACGATTATGAGGGAGGGAGGGAAGAGGGAATGTAAGTGGGAACAGCGACCGGGGGAAGCAGAGAAAGAGGGGGGTTCCTCCGAGGAATTGATTTCTAAAGAATGAATGGAAGGGGGGAGGGGGGAGGAGGAGAGGCTGAACTCGACTTCACGATATATTGAACGTGAGTAAGAATCAGACGAAGGAGTAGAAAAGAAGAAGAAGAGGAAGAAGAATAGAATTAGGGAGAGCAGGAAGAACCAGGAGGATTTGCTGGGCAAAAAGGAAAGCGAACGACTACTGCTGGACCAGAAGGAGGAAAAAGGGAAAAAAAGGGAAAAAAGAGGGGGGAGAGGAGAGAGGGAAAAAGAGAGGGAATAATGGGAACTTTAGTCTTGGACGGTATTAGTTGAGTTTAGTTAGCAGAATAATTACTGGCAGTAGCAGCAGTATAATCGGGGAGAGAGAGAAGAAGTGGTCTGTGAGTCGCAGGGGCAATCCGTTCATTTCCCACTGGAATCCATAATTCTTCTTTCCCTCCCCCTGAGAGAGAGGAGAAGAAGCTGGTCAACTTAACTAGTTCAGTTTAGTCGATTTAGTTCGACTGGATAGCTCGGATGCAGTCAGCACAAAAAAAAGGCTGTCTAGCAGGCGTTTTTCCGTTTTGCGTCAGGTTGCACCCTCCCTCATGCAGAAGCCCTTCTTTTGCTATTCTAATTCTTATTATAGATATAGTTTCCATGAATTGAATTGTTTGTTGGTTGTAGCATTGATTATTTCTGGAGGAGGCTCATCAGCCTCACGTGGATGGATCACTGCTTGATCCCCATCCTATCCAATCAGTTCATCCCTGAGCACTGTTGCCCTCTCTCGTCTCCTCTTCCCACCCCCATACTAGCTAGCTACTAATTATACCGAGTACTCCCGCCCCCTTCATCATCAGCAGCAGTGGCAGCAACACTCTTGTTTGCTGTCGCAAACCCTGTCAATCGTATATTTTATTTTCCATCTAGACACACTAGTCCATGGTTTAGAAGCTTGGACGCGTTCATGACAACATGTTCTTATTTCACTGCAAGTGATCGTCTCGTCTCAAACGGGCCAAACAACAATCCACCCGGCAGAGGAGGGAGGAATGGAGAATGGCTCCCCGAGAGATTGGCTGAGCAGAACAGCCACTCCCAAATTGGGGAAGTTTTGGCAGAATAAAGGTATGTCTTCAATGGAATGAATGGAGAAGAAATGACTGTATGATGTAAAATGAATCATTCCCATGGGGACAATTCCCTGCAATCCCAAGCCATAAACACGGGGATAAGCACGTGACCCGCATCGCTTAACCCAAAGTGGGAACGCCGGCGGCCGGAATTTTCGCGGTTCGCACAACGAGAGAGTCAGAGAGCGAGAAGAGAGAGAGAGAGTTGCCCTTGTCTTTCTCAACAAGATTGACTGCCTGACGTTCTCTTGTCTGGGTCTTTCTCGCCGACCGTCGCGTGGCAGCCTTTCTATCTTCAGGCTCCTCCTTACGCCCTCGACTCCCTGCTGCCCGCCTGTCGTTGTGCGATCCGACGTGCCTTTTCTTCCCTTTCGACCTCCTCCCAGTCGAAGGATAGCATCGTCGTCTTCATCCACCATATTGTGATCGCTTATCCCAGCCGCTATCGTCGCCCACCATGCCGCCTCCGCCTCACATCAAGCCTGAAAATGTCCTCAAGGTACGCCAGTCCGGTTACTTGTCCCGAATACTATTCGAATATATCGTCGGAATGTTATGTCGTGGGATGGGAAAGGAAACATGTCGTGATGGAAAAATTCATGCTGACCGGTATCTTGTCCGCAGAGGGCTCAGGAACTCATCGCCGTGGGTCAGGCCCCCGCCGCCCTCAACGTCCTTCACGAACATGTCACCTCCAAGCGGACGCGCAGCAGCCCCATCGCCTCTCTGGAGCCGGTGATGCTCCTCTTCGTCGAGCTGTGTGTTGATCTTCGCAAGGGCAAGGCCGCCAAGGATGGTCTCTACCAGTACAAGAACATCGCCCAGAACACCAACGTCGGAACGATCGAGGTAGGAGGATTTTTTTTCCTTTTCCCTTTCATACACTACATCCCTCCCTCAACCGCAGCATCTAATCTTTCACCGGTATAGGTTGTTCTCAAGAAGTTCATCGAACTCGCCGAGAAGAAGGTCACCGAGGCTCAGGCCAAGGCCGATGAGATCCAGTCTTCTCTCGAGTCCGCTGCCCCTTCCTCCAACGTTGAGGATCTGGAAGCCATCGAGACCCCCGAGACCATCCTGCTCGCCACCGTCTCCGGTGAGCAGTCCCGCGACCGCACGGACCGTGCTGTTGTCACTCCTTGGCTCAAGTTCCTCTGGGAGACCTACCGCACCGTGCTCGAAATCCTCAAGAACAATGCCCGCCTTGAGGTCATGTACCAGACCACCGCCCTGCAGGCCTTCCAGTTCTGTCTCAAGTACACCCGCAAGACCGAGTTCCGCCGTCTGTGCGAGCTGCTCCGTAACCACGTCCAGAATGCCGCCAAGTACTCCGCTCAGATGCACGCCATCAACCTCAGCGACCCGGATACCCTCCAGCGCCACCTGGACACCCGTTTCCAGCAGCTGAACGTTGCCGTCGAGCTGGAGCTGTGGCAGGAGGCCTTCCGCAGCATTGAGGACATCCACACCCTTCTCAGCCTCAGCAAGCGTCCCGCCAAGAACGTCATGATGGCCAACTACTACGAGAAGCTGGCCCGTATCTTCCTGGTCAGCGAGAACTACCTCTTCCACGCCGCTGCCTTCAGCCGTTACTACAACCTTCTCCGCCAGTCCGCCGCCACTCTGGCTGCTGGCCAGGGTACCAAGAAGGAGAACCCCTCCGTCACCGAGGCCGATATGACCAAGGCCGCCTCTTTCGTCCTGCTGTCCGCCCTCTCCATCCCCGTCATCAGCACTTCCCGCTCCCGCGGTGCCCTGGTCGATGTGGATGAGGTCCGCAAGAACAAGAACACCCGTCTCACCAACCTGTTGGGTATGGCCTCTCCCCCCACTCGTGCGGTGCTGTTCAAGGATGCCCTCAACAAGGGCCTGCTCAAGCGCGCCCGCCCCGAGATCCGTGACCTCTACAACATCCTCGAGGTGGACTTCCACCCCCTGTCCATCTGCAAGAAGATCACCCCCATCCTCAAGCAGATCGGTGCCGACCCCGAGATGGAGAAGTACGTCCTGCCTCTGCAGCAGGTCATCCTGACCCGTCTCTTCCAGCAGCTGTCTCAGGTCTACGAGTCTGTCGAGCTCAAGTTCGTCTACGAGCTGGCTCAGTTCCCCGACCCCTTCCAGATCACTCCCTCCATGATCGAGAAGTTCATCATGAACGGCTGCAAGAAGGGCGACCTCGCCATCCGTGTCGACCACATCTCTGGTGTCCTCACCTTCGACACCGACGTCTTCTCCTCCGCCAAGGCTCTGCACCCCGGCAGCGCCGCTGGCTCCGCCGAGAGCGAGGTTGGCTCCGTCCAGCGCCTGCAGAACACCCCCGCTGAGATTGCCCGCCTGCAGCTCACTCGCCTGGCCAAGACCCTGCATGTGACCTGCATGTACGTCGACCCCTCGTACAACGAGGCCCGCCTGCAGGCCAAGCGTGCCGCCCTTGCCCGCGCCCAGGCTGGTGCCGCCAAGGAGCACGAGGAGACTCTGGCTCGCCGCGTCATCATCGAGAAGAAGAAGGAGGCCGCCACCGATGCTCTGCAGCGCAAGCAGCGCGAGGAGGAGACTCGCAAGCGCATCCGCACCCAGCAGCTTCAGGAAGCCGAGAAGCAGCGTCTGTTGGATGAGCACCGCGAGCGTGAGAAGAAGCGCATCAAGGATGAGCAGGACCGCATCCGCCAGCAGGAGCTGAAGAAGCAGCTGGAGGAGCTCAAGACTGGCGTCAAGGGCATTGACATCAGCGAGCTTGACCTGAACGAGCTCGATGCCAACCGCCTCCGTGCCATGAAGCTGGCTCAGCTGGAGAAGGAGAAGAACGAGCTCAACGACCGCATCCGCACCACCGCCAAGCGCATTGACCACCTGGAGCGTGCCTTCCGTCGTGAGGAACTGAAGCACATCCCCGAGGACTACGAGAAGCAGAAGCAGCGCGACATGGAGATCTACGAGGCCACCAAGGCCGAGGCCCTCAAGGAGGCTGAGGACAAGCACAAGGAGGCCGTTGCCCTCAAGCACCGTCTTAGCCGCCTGGTGCCCCAGTTCAACAGCTTCCGCAAGGAGGTGTCCGAGAAGCGCCACGAGGAGTTCGAGAAGCGCCGCAAGGCTGCTGAGCGCGACTTCGAGGCCAAGAAGAAGCAGCGTATCAAGGAGGTCCAGGAGCGCAGACGCCGTGAGCGCGCCGAGCGTGAGGAGGAAGAGCGCCGCCGCAAGGAAGAGGAGGAGCGCGTCCGTCGCGAGGAGGAGGAGAGAACCGCCAAGGAGGAGGAGCGCCGCCGTGTCCTGGCTGAGGAGAAGGCCAAGCGTGAGGAAGAGAGAAAGTCAGTATCCCCCATCAGAACTCCCTGTCGCCCAATTCGTCAAAGACCACTAGTTGCTAACCCGCCTTACAGGAGACTCGATGAACTTGCTGCCAAGCAGAAGCAGCGTGAAGAGGAAGCCGAAGCTCGCCGTGCCGCTCGCCGGGCTGGTGGTGCTGAGCCCGAGGCTGCCCCTGCTCCTGAACGTGCTGCTCCCACGGAACGCATTGCTCCTCGTCTCAACCTGGCTCCTCGCACTGGTGGTGGTCCCAGCTGGAGAGAGCGCCAGGCTGCCAAGGAGGCTGCTGGTGGCGCTCCTGCTGCTGCTCCTGAGCGTGCTGCTCCCGAGCCTGCCCGCGAGGAGCCCGCTCCCGTGCGCAGAGGCTACGTACCTCCTCACCTGCGCTCGGGTGCCAGTGCTACCCCTGCTGCTCCTGAGCGTGCTGCCCCTGCTCCTTCCACGGAGCGCTACGTTCCCCGTGCCATGCGTGAGGCCGGCTCTTCCCAGCCCCCCTCCCGCACGCAGACCCCCGGCTCCAGCTCCGACAAGACCGAGGAGTCCAAGCCTGCCGCTGGCAAGTGGGTGCCCAGATGGAAGCAGCAGCAGGGTGGCCAGTAAATCGCATGATGACATGAAAAAGTTCTTTGGATGTTTGATGAAAGGGCGTGTGATTTGAGTCAAACCTTCCTCTTTTCTCTTTTTTCTCTCTCTCTTTCATCCTTGTGTTGTATAAACACACAACTCTCATCCACCTTACAAATACTTTTCCGCCCCGCCTCCCCATCTTCATGTTCGCATAGTACCTTTTTGTCTCCTTCCTTAGCCTCAAACCCGGTACGATTCTTCTTTTTTCTTCTACCTCCATACTGTTTCTACTACGTCTTTTAGTTCTTTTAGTTGATGAGGTATGAACCTTTGCGAGGTGAGAGAGAGAGATAGATATCGGGGGTTCTTCACACCATGAGGTTGTAGTTAAAGCTCTTTGCCTCCCCCCAACCGCCAACTGCTTGATTTAATTTTTCTTTTTCTGGGCATGCCATGTCAATTGATTGATTGATTTTTTCTTACATTACCCGATCTCATGGTGTTTTTACCAAATGCATAGTATTTTCTTTCGTTCATCCACTTTATACCTGAGTTGTAGACATCACTTAATACTCAAGTACAAGATAGATAGATATGATGAGCATGAAACCACCGGTATCACTTATTTCAACTTACCCCCTCCCCCCTCCATAAAAGACCCCAAACAATCCATCCGTCTTCTTTAGATCATCCCATTGGAAAGGAGAAAATGAAGTACCAACTTGGAAGTCAATTTCGATTTACTATTGTCTTGTAGTAATTATATTCTTATTCCCGGTCCCTCGCCTCTCCCTCCTTCTTCCTCATTCGATATGACCGACTACAGACTCTTTTTTCCTTCTTATGAAAGGTGAGTGAGTAAGTAGATAGGGAAGGTGGATGCTACCTACTACATACCTTGGTATCTGTCTTGTTTTCACCAATACAATACCTGAAACAGACCCATACATTTGGTGAAACTGTACCTGTGACAGATTTTCTCAAGCGACTAACTAGTTTGGTTTTGGTTTTGGTTATTTATACTGGGCTAATAGTTAGTACCGAGACTAGATAGAGTATGAGAAAGGGAATAAAAAAAAAGTGAAGAGTAATGGATGTATCAGTTATTCTGTGAGATCAATTTCTAATGATTATAATCTGATATCATGTATTGAGTTAGAACCAGGGAAGTGGTCTATGCATTGAATAATGTATTTGGTTCTATGGTGTTGAATTGGAAATTTCAGTTGGAGGTTTTGAATGTGTGGGTCATAGATATTTGGATATCGGTGAGAGATTCTGACAGGACAAATTGAAGAAGGTCATACTTTGCTTGAATTGGGTGGAATGAATGCATAGCAATTGTGAAATATGTAGGTCGGTGAAAATGACCAGTTGGATGGATGGATGGACGAACCCAGATGAATAATCTATATACTAGAAAGGAAATTGCAAAAGGGGGTATGGCCGCTATCTCTGGCAGTAGTACTCGAGACAATATGTCTGGGATGTCAAGGGCAAAAAAAGAGAAGACAAAAAAGAGATTTATCCCGTGAAAAGAAGAAGAAACTGGTAGCATCCGTCCTTGTCTATATCCATTATCCCTCCCCCTCTACCTTTAGGAAATAGTCATCATCTCAAGCAGCAGCCACTTCGGCTCCAGCGGCTGCCCCGAAGAGCTTCTCTCGCCATTCACCGCACACCGCCTCGAAGCCACTGACTACGTCTCCGCAGACTCGGCCGGCTTCGCGATCCCGGAGTCGACGGTCCCAGTCACCTCGTTCGATCCACCGGGTCCCCTCCTCGACACCTTCTTCCTCACGGCGGAGGTCGGCTACAAGTTCGCGAGCAGACCGGAGTCGTCGCGATGCCGTGGACGTAAGCTGGCGCGACTCATACAGCGTATCGCTCAGGCCCCGGAGCGACAGGGTGATGTCGGATGTCTGCGACACAAGGGTCTGTAGGGAGACAAGAGGGTTCAGGGCCGGTGACTGGGAGGGGGTAGTGGGTCTTGAGGAGTGACGTGGCTGTTCCGGGAAAGGATAAGGGAGGTTAGGCAGGAGTTCTTCGTCGATGAGAGGAATAAGCGCATCTATAGCATCTGAGGAAAGGAGCGGGAATGGCGAGAATAGGAGAGGGTGGGTGAGGGTCTGAAGTGCCCGCGTCTGATGGGTAAGATGTGAGGTGATGGACGAGTGTGCAGTGATGAGTCTAGGTTTCAAAGGTCGTGTTAGCCAGCTATAATTCCGAGCAGACAGGACAGCCTGCCAAGTCACAGACAACAACAGATCCACCTACCTCATGGCGTTGTTTTCAATTCCACTCTGCCCGCCAAGATCCCGGAGAGCTTCCACCGCCCGTTGAATCACAAAGTCATTCTCACTGCCATTGTTCTCTAGTCCGCGACGAGCCAGGCTCTCGATCTCCGCCATCTGCATCTCTAGGCTAGGCGGCATATCCGCTTCCTCGAAATCCGAATCGTTTCCATAATCGGAGCCATCATATTGCGACTCGTGCCGCCGGTGTCGATGGGCACCATTACGGGTCTTGGGCTTCGGAGGCTGCAGAGAAGAATTCCGTTCCGACGAGTAGCCTGATGAGGGTGTGCGGGCCCCGGTGCCCATGCGGTGGTATGCATCTTCATCGTCACTGCGATCCACATACTGTGCGTCAGGGGCCCCGGCATCCTGGCCCGACGTGTATCCGTAACCACCTTCTTCCTCCTCCCATGCATCCGCGAGCTCATCGGCCAAGTTTCCTAGTCCGCCGCCTTCGTTGGCAGCACCGCCGAAGTCGCCCGACATTCTATGGGAGCCATTGAATGATTGAGTGTGGTGAGGGCGGACGTCCACCGGAGAAGAGGGGATGGATGAACGAGGCGTATGAGGCGACCGAGGCGACCGGTAAGAAAAGCCGTTGGGAGCGTAGGTACCAGGAGAAATGGGGTCGATGTCGATGTTGGAGGAGCGACTCCGAGTATGGCGGTGAGATATAGTCAGGGGAGGTGGGATGGACGGCATGTTGCAGGATTAAAGGAGGGGAAGAGAAAGAAAGACGGGGATGCGGTGTAGGCGTTGGAGGGTCAAGGAGATAGTTTGACGTGGAAACCTTCGACGGTCTAAACAAGGGAAACAGGGGTTGTTTGTTGTAGATTCTTTGCAAATCGTAAGTGGCTGCCGCGAAGTAAATAACGAACAGGGGAACGGAAGTCAATGGTGGATCGCCGACCGCATCACCAGGATGCTTTTCCACGCAGCCAGTCGTAAAGGACGGGAGAGAAAGAGGGAAAAGGGCAAAGGAACGAAGAAGTCGAGACCGGCTATCCCGAGAACGAAGGATATCGAAATAAAATAGAGAATGAGCCGGAGAGAGAAAGAGAGAGAGAGAGAAGGAGAGAAGAACAGCAATAATAATATAACTAATGAGGGGGGCACAGAAGGAGAGGGAGAAAGAAGCCCGACCCTCAAAAAGATCTCCTCCCCGTGACCGCCCAAGCCCCGATTGACTCGCCGATCAACTCCCCAAATTGCTTCATCTTTCCCCTCCATCTATCAGACTATCTTCTTGAGAACCACCGCTCAACCCTTCCCCCCAAGGAATAAACACACACAACAACAATGAGCTCCATCCGGCGCATGTCCCCAACGGACCTCCTGTCCCTCAACCTCACCAACCTCGACCCATTGACCGAAAACTACGACCTCGGATTCTACCTCAATTACCTCATGCGATGGCCGTCCCTCTTTAGCAGCGTTCAAGATCGCCAGGAAGGCATCGTAGGTTACAGTGAGTTTCTTTCCCACCATCCTTCGAGTAGTAGTAATCACAACTAATGCGCGTCATCAGTCATGGGCAAGCTCGAAGAACAACCCGCCTCGATGCGCCATTCCGAACACTACACGCCCTGGCACGGCCACATTACCGTTTTAACCGTTGCGCCCGCATGGCGCCGTCTCGGCCACGCGCGTCGTCTCACCGAACGTCTGGAACAGGGCTCCGATATCAACGATGCCTGGTTTGTCGATCTCTATGTGCGAGCGGGGAATAAAGTTGCCGTGGGGATGTATAAGGGCATGGGGTGAGTTTATACCCTTTTTTTCTACTTTTACTTTCTCGCTTTACCTGTCCGAGTCTTTGTGGTTTCACTCGGTTCCCCGCAAAAAGGAATATGATGATGCTGATAGGGGTGTTCCACGCAGATACTCCGTCTTCCGCCGAGTAGTAAACTACTACAGCGACGATCCAACAGGCTTCTCGGATTCAGGTGAAGATGCCTTTGATATGCGCAAGCCATGCAGTCGCGATAAGAAGCTCCAGCATATTCGGGAGAATGGGGAGGAGTTCTTGGTGGATCCGATTCATGTTTCGTAGGACGCTTCGTTCGGGGGGGGGGGGGGGGGTGATGATGAGGAATGGATCGGACGGGTCTAGGTATATATACATATGATGGTGTGAGGATGGCAGCAAAGGATGGTGAATAGCATAAGATAAAAGTGGTTTGTCGGTTGGTTGGTTTCGAGCATTTGGTGTTTGGGCGTTTCCATTACTATTATTTCTGTTCTGGGTGGATGAACGGACGTGTCATGCCATGTCGTGCTATGCATGCTGAGTGGACTAGGGATGGCTTGAATAGAATTCTTATGAGACTTAAAGTCATTAAAACAAGGCTTGAGATGGTATCCATGCTGTGCATTATTTTTACTCGATCAATCTGAATCGTAATACATTAAGCAATATGTTCTAATCTAGTCTTGAATCCTATCTATCGTAATCAAAAGATCAAACTTTTATCATCCCAAAAAAAAACACCGGTTCTCCCATAATGCATGATGCAAATGCAAATGCTTGGATGGAATATGCAACTCTTTTGGGTCATCAGGTATTAAGGTATCGGTTCTCATAGAGGTGAGTTGATGCAGTCGCGGCGTAGTTGATTGAAGTGGGAATAGGAGTTGGTGTGTTTGTTGTCAGGCCGCGCTCACACACGCGCGATAAGTCTCATACTCGAGCGAGAGAATCTCAGCGCGGCAAAGACAGAGGCAGACGTGATAAGACAGCAGGCTGTGAAGAGCTGCACTCCCAGGTAGCTGCCCGAGCTGCTCAAGATGGCTCCGCCGATAGGTGTACCGATCAGCAGTCCGACAGAGGTGATTGCGAACACCATGCCTAGACGAGTGCCCAGGTCACGGATGTCCTTGGTCAGAGTCACCATCACGACCGGCGGAAGTGACACGAAACCTCCGGAGCAGAGACCATACAGCACGGAAAGGACGATGATGCCTGGCGCATTGTGGACTCCGATCCAAGCGAAAGCGAGAATGGCGGTAGCGGTAGCTGCAGGAGTGAGGACGTTCAAGGGACCAGTGTGGTCGGCGATGAAGTTGGGACAGATACGTCCAACGGTGGACCCCGCATTCAGCATGGAAAGCAGGTAAAATCCGAGGGTGGAACCGACAATTCCGGTATCGATGGCATAGGATTGGATATAGAAGAGGAAGTTGTAAAATCCAAGGAAACCCAGGAACATGCCAATGCAAAACATCACGAAATGTGGCTCTTTGAAGGCAGCCAACTGGACCAGCTTGCGCTTCTCTGTCGGCTGGAAGCGCATACGCATGATGCTGTATGAGATGCAGCAGGTTCCGAAACAGAGGAAGCCGATAGCTCTCGTCGCCCAGGGAAAGCCGACCTTGTGCTGCAGCTGGTCAAACATGATCGGATAGATCACACCTCCGATACTGCTGCCCGAAGCGGCAAGACCGTTGGCCAGACCGCGTCTCTTCTTGAAGTACTGAGGCAGAATGGCGACGGATGGGACGAACAGACATCCGGCAGACAGACCAATAACGATACCTTGGGCCAGGATCAGCTGCCAGAACTTGGTAGCAAGACTGGTCATCATCAACCCAAAGGGGAGCATGATGCTTCCAAATGTGAGCAGGGCACGGAAGTAGCCTGCGTCAAAAAGAGGTCCTGTTACCACACCAAAAAGCATGAGCAGGAAAGCTTGGAGTGAGCCAATCCAGGCGATGTTGGACGATGACATGTCGGACAACAAGTCCTGCTCATAATACGTTTGGAAAGCACCCCAGGTGTTAATGACACCCCTGGCCGTCATCCTTCGTCAGTTGATGACCTACATGGTACCAGAGTAGAGGGTCTCACATACCATGAGTTGAAGAAAAGGAAGAAAGAGCCTAGCACTTGGATCCATGACTTAAAGCCGGTATCGAATAACGGTTCCTCTGAGGGTTTCTCCTCTGACGGAGTAGGAAGTTCATGGCAGTCGCCATTGTTGTTTGCAGTAAGGGATCCCGCAACAGCCTTCTCGTCGTAATCAGCATTGGTCCCCATTTTCCACCCCAATAATAAGCGATCAGACGGACCGTCTGGTGGAGTGGACGATAAAGGTAAGGGTTGGAGGGCGAAACAGACAGCGGATCAGATAACCCTAGTAGCAGTCGACGTGAACACAGCCCAAACAGCACTCACTGAGAGCATAAATCACCACTTAAGATATATTTCTCAGGACCGGGGGACTTGGAGCAGAGAGGAGGGCGACCCCAGGTGGAGGTCAGGCTCACACTATATACTGTGATTAGAAATGAATCATAGCGGCACACAGTAAAAATTTATTAAGGTAGTGCCTCCAAGCCCCGGCTAAGACTAAGCTTGGGAGCTAGAAAAGCAGACTCAACCAAGACTGAGTAAGGGGATCCACTCGTCGGTGGCCATTCATGTTGACTGATCCCCTGGGAGTGGGAATGGAGACAGTCAAGGGAACCAGGCTCTGGCTGATGCCCCATCGTGGGAAGAGAGCCTACTGGACCAGCAATGAGCGGGTTCCGGGTAAGCGATGGAGTCACTTGCCGAGGGACGGAGCCACAGAGCCCATTCTTTTCCCCAGGAACATGTCTTTGATGTGTTGTCGGGGAGAAGTTGGAGAAGTTAGAACACGAGCATGGATAATTGGGGAAGGGAAGGGCACGCCCTGCGCTTCACAACTGCGGTTATTGCAGGTATGCTCTGCATAAGCACGATTGGAGGATGACTGCAGATAGTGGACTTTAGTGTGTTTGGGAGGGTGACAGCGTGCCGATTTATCCAGGCGGGGGCCGAACTGCATATCACTTCTTTCTAGTCCATCCTGTACCTGGTCCGTTGACCTACTTATTCTTGGCGAATGCGACGCTGGCTTGAACTCTTGAGACACAAGAATGAATCACATTGTCCAGGCTTGAGGGGTCAAGGAACGGTCCGTCCATCTTGAGCCCGATCCTCCTAGCACGAACAGTGTAATTGGCGACAGAGAACATAGCAATAGCAGGGCCTACTGCACGCTGAACCGACCCACCAAGAAGTATTAACAGCAATAAGAAGGATGCTTAAATTCGGGACCCTCGAGGCGCTTATTCGTAAGCCAGAAAATGTGGGATTGAAATTCCTCGGAGATATCGGTCTTCGTTCCGAGTCTGGATCCCGAAACAAGACGGTCTCATCGCCGATGAAGATCGGCTGACAGAAAGAAAGGTGAGCAACCACGGATCGGTGAACACTTGCTGATTTGCTTGATACGTAGACTAAAGCCTGTGATTGTGCAAGAAAAGGTGGTTGACCGACTTGACAAAGTATGAGGAGGTTTCAAACCAGGCTATCCATGCCTTGAAACTGAGCGGAAGAGAGAAGTTGTGTCCCTCAATAATGGGCTGCCCACATGCCGCCAATCACGGCATGTCATCTTGCATTAGTGCTTTTCGTGCAGTTCGGCAATGCGAGACAAGCCACGACGTTCGACTTGTGCTCTCCGACTCGGCTGTTTCAGTCTATACACTGGCGGTCAGAGAAGCGCGGACCGAAGTCCGTACGGCAAAGTCAATGAATCAAGTTATCAACTGATCCTACTCGTCCAAATTATACTCCGAATGAGGCATTTGTGTCGCCTAGATCCACTCACTGATGACTCTTCGCTAGTATTCATGGGCAACACATTGAACTCAACATATCTGTTATGACTCCTACGTGTTCTGTGGAGGTGTTAAGAGGAAGGATGTCGAAGCACTTGACGGGTCAGACGAGTTTCTGACGTGGTCAATAAGATTGGGAAAGATAGAGGACAGGCCATCATTCACTACAGACTCGTCGCAGCTTGACGTAAGCATCTGGAGCATGTCATATCTCAGAATAGGAATGCTCGCGCTTGTCTATCGGGAATGTGGGAACAATGCCATGTGAGGAGTTGACGCCATACTTGCAGTTGCATCAGAGCCCCAAAGTATCCATCTGCAACAGTGCCAGTCACAAAGTACCTTGCCTGCTACTTCATACATCTCCAAATTGGGGTCATCATCCATATCAGGACATGAAAACAGACCCGTCGATGTTGGTTCTACATCCGAGACCACCTCTGTGCAGCACTCTGCCTAGCTCAATTGTGAAGACGCCATTGCCTTTAGAGCAGTATATTGGAAACAGAAAGGCCTATAATATGCCACACAAAGCATGTCAACATCAAACTTTTTTGAATTTTACTAATATATAGACTGCAGTGCGTTATTCTTTTGAGTTTTCTTTGTCTTCCCAGTGTCCCAGTGGCTGCCTAGGCCAGTATGGCCCGCTACCCTACTCCGAAACTCCAAACGCTATGCTGCCCAGAGGGAAAGATCCTTAGACCAAACACATACACAATAAAGTACCAAGAAGCCATTTGGAAAAAATACAACCACCTGTCATCTCCGCGTCTAGAGTAATTCTTCGCAAGTCCAGTCCTCGTACCTGTATCACAGAAATAGTGATTAGATCGAATACGTCAAATTGTCAAAGCCACATGGAGGAGGCCCGCTTACCATCCGTCGGGAAGATATCTCCGCACAATCAGTGGGATCTTCTTCTGGTTCAACTCCTTGATAGCAATCTGTAGAGGATCCGTCTCGCCCTCGAGATCGACGAGCACCGGGGCGTTCATACTAGAGACATGGTCAGCATCCGATTGCGCTTCTCAACCCATCTTTGATGCCGCATCGATTGCCGAGACGAACCTGATCTGCAGGGCCCGAGTGCCCAGGACACGCGCGCGCTCGTACTTGGTCATGTATGGAGTTGTCTGGCGCTGGTCGTTCGGGACCTTCTTCTCCCGCGTCTGCTCCATGACCTTGCCCGCATACCCCGCATTCGGGTCGCCTGAAGCGACAATGTGGTTTCCGTTGACAGCAGGCGCATATGAGCCTTCGCCATATTCATCGGCGCCTCCTTCTGCGACATCGACATCCTCGGGGTTTAAGAAATCTTCGGGCTCGTTGTCATCGTACTCCTGCTCCGGCTCGTAGTCGTAACTATGAAACAATCCTAGTCAGAACATCGGAACTTTCACCTAGAAGGCATAACAGCTA